CCCCCCCCCGCACTGTATTGTTTTGAGTTTTGAATACTTGAAACTTTGAGATAGAGATGAGTAATGAGTGAGATGGAGGATTCTTACTGACAGCTGAATAAACAAGGACATTCAAGGACACCTTAGTTCAGAAATGTATTTTGAGAATGTGATGAACTTGGTTTTGAAAAGTAAAGAATAACTAGTCCTACAACTAAGTTTTATAGGTGTAGGAATTGGATAAAATTAAGAAATCTCTCTGAACTTGGTAGTATTGGAAGCCTTCTAACATGAATTTTGTAGATTCTAGTCTGTTCTCTTAACTTTAGAATAATTACCACATTTTATAAAAGTTGAGAGACAGCAGTGTGTAGTTTAGTAGAGATACTAAATGCAGGGGATATGTAGATGTAAAAATATGCCCAGCACTGGTGTTCAAGACTTTAAAGAGACATTACAGCCTTCAGTATTACTATACTTCAACATTGTTGTTGTAGTTGTTGTTAAGTGTCATTGAGTCACAGGCAACTCATAGCGACCCTAAGAAGGAGAGTCCTCAATGCTTGGGGGTCTTTCATGCTCTCTCCAGGTTCATAGGGTTTCCTGAGGCAAGCTATTAAGGAAGTGGATGCCACTCCTCTTTCCAAGCTTGTTTTAATCGGGGAGCTCCACCCCACTCTCTGTCCGCTTGGGTAACCAACTATTAACGCGTTTGACACATCAGTGTCACAGTGTTCAGCCTCACAGCAACCACAAGTTACCGCTGTACAGCAACTTGTACACCAGGGCTATACAACCTAGAGGAATGTCTGAACAAAAACAATGAAAGACATTAAGAAAATAAAAATCTTTACAACTGGGCCAATAGACAACATCATGATAGAAGACTGAAGTTGTTAATTTCATCTGACTTGGCTCCCCAATCAAACTCCATAGAATCAGAATGACTTACTTGCATAGTTGTGACCTTGGAACCCACCTCCTATGACTTTGAGATTAGCACTCTTTTATCACTGAAAAAGTATTTTAAAGTATCTATGTTTGTTTACTACTAAGACTTTGTGAGCCAGAGGCGAATCTTAACCAAACCATACCCAGGCCTTTTGCTGTCAAATAATTTCTGATTCCTGATAACCCAGTGGGACAGAGAACGGCCTCATACATAGTTTCCAAAGGAGCAGAGACTGGCTGGTGGATTCCAACCTCTTAACTTTAGATTAGCACCTTAACCACTGTATTGTAAAGGTCTTAGAAGTTGTGAAGGTATTCCATTTTCTGGGTCTTAAGTTTGGTGGAGTACTTTTTTTGGTGGAGTGACTTTTTTTTTTTAAAATTTTTTTTAAATTTAAATTTGTTATTAATTTCAGTGAAAATTTACAGAGGCTTTGGATTTCCAT